GGTAAAACAGAGCTCTTGTCTTGGAAGAATATAATAGCATTTCATTATAACCATGCCTACAAGTTAGACCAGGTACTTGCCACAGTGATCAGGTTGATGTACTCAAGGAACTATTAATAGCTGTTATTAAGAGCTTCTGAAATAGATTCTGAAAAGGCAGAGCTATAAGGTCTAAGAGTCTAAATAAAAAGGCACAAAGTTTAAAATTATATATGATTAATACTTCATTACATCAATTATAATGTAAAAATACATTCATAAAATATTGATTGTGCACTCACAACATGCCAACATATGCTATGCTTCAATATTTTATGGTATTTGTTAAGTGTTAGTGGAACAAGAAGTGTAGAACTATGAGGGCATAAAAGGTGAACAATGGATATGGTTATCGGTGCTCAGCTGTTGCATAGAACAGTCTCCTTTAGCTAACCTAACGGTATGGAATGACTTCATTTTGCAGTACACCATCTCTTCTTTCAAATTAAGAAGGAATATTTTAGTTCAAGTGAGAACCAGAGAGAATAGTCCCATCAGTTTGTCTTTTTCCTTTAATAATAGTAGACCTACAAAGTTCTCATTTAAGTTTTTTTAAGTGACTGTATTTTCCACCGGGGGTAGAGGGGAAAATAGAGTGAAGAATTAGGGAAAGAAAGAAGTGGAAGGGGAGGGACAAAGGAGGGAAGAAGATACAGAAACACCTGGAGAGGAGGATCACAGAAGAAAGGAGGGAGAAGGTTAAAAAGTGTGGGGGGGATGGAACTATGTTCCTGGTTTTTGTTTATTAAAATGAACATATAAACATTCCCTAAACACACACACACATACACACACAAGCATGTTCCTACTTTGCTGAGAAAAAGTTATTAATGAAGGTGGAATAGCTCTGTACTTCGCTGATAGATACTTCAGTGTTCTCTTTTTCAAAAATAATTTGAACTTGTTTCCAAGCTATCATCTTTAAGTTTTAAGATCTGACTGCAAAATATAATTGGTCTGTTTTGTAACTTTCTTCATAAAGAGGTATTGATATTTCTAAAATATTTCTCTTGTTCATTTAAAAATATGTATAGTACAGTGAAACTGCAACATAGGATTTATATAACTGCTATTACCATCAGTTCAAGACTAACAACTTGCTTGGCACATAGGGATGATGTGTTTGCAAATTACTACTATTATTGATTGTTTAAAATAAACACAATGATACCATTTTATATATATTCTACTGTCTTGAGCAGAGGAGACAGATCACCAGCTATGCACATTACATTTGCTAAGATTTTTATTGCTCAAAGTTAGATTTAGAGAATACTGTTTGATTTATGGTACATCTGAATCCATGTTATATCACATAAGGAATCTGTGATGTGTGCCAAGCAATCCTATTAACAGTCAAGAGAGGCTGTGATTTAATTAAACAAATAAGGACAGGATATTGTTACTTCAAAAGGTCACAAATAACTAAAATTATTATTGTTATCTCTAGGAAAATAAAACAAAAAGCTAGGAAATGGTTGAGGAAAGAGTAAACAAATTCAGTCTAGGTAATCCAACATCCAGATGTTGTATTTCCAGGAAAAGAACAAAGGCAATAAAGAGGAAATTCTGAAAAAATGATAGAAGAGAATTTCCCAGAGCCAAAGACCAGGTGACTTAGGACTGGAAGAGCCCATCAAACACCTAGTATAATAAATGGGAGAAGAAAAACCAAAACCCACAGCGGGGCACATTAAGCCAATTATAAAAGACCAATTATATGACTCCATTTATATTAAATGTCCAGAATAGGCAAATCTTTAGAGACAGATGAGCGAGATGATAACTAAAAAGCACAACTATTCTAGGGGTGATAAAATTGATTCTGGTGACGGTTGTATTAAGTCTGTGAATATACTAAAAATCATTAAACTGTCTGATTTAATTGGTGAGCTGTACTCAGCCATAAAAAAGAACCCATTTGACTCAGTTCTAATGAGGTGGATGAACCTAGAGCCTATTATACAGAGTGAAGTAAGTCAGAAAGTGAGATGGATGAAACTGGAGCCCATTATACAGAGCGAAGTAAGCCAGAAAGATAAAGACCATTACAGTATACTAACACATATATATGGAATTTAGAAAGATGGTAACGATAACCCTATATGCAAAACAGAAAAAGAGACTCCGATGTATAGAACAGACTTGTGGACTCTGGGAGAAGGCGAGGGTGGGATGTTTCAAGAGAACAGCATCAAAACATGTATATTATCTAGGGTGAAACAGATCACCAGCCCAGGTTGGGTGCATGAGACAAGTGCTCGGGCCTGGTGCACTGGGAAGACCCAGAGGGATCGGATGGAGAGGGAGGTGGGAGGGGGGACCGGGATGGGGAATACATGTAAATCCATGGCTAATTCATCTCAATGTATGACAAAAACCACTGCAATGATGTAAAGTAATTAGCCTCCAACTAATAAAAATAAATGAAAAAAAAAAAAGAGAAAGACAAACATCATATATTAATGCATACATATGGAATCTGGAAAGATGGTACTGAGGAACCTATCTACAGGGCAGCAACAGAGACACAGACATAGAGAACAGACTCGTGGACATGGGTAGAGATGGGGGGAGAGGGTGGGACGAACTGAGAGAGTAGCACTGAAACATGTACATTACCATATGTAAAATCAGACAGCCAGTGGAAATTTGCTATATGATGCAGGGAGCTCAAATCTGGTGCTCTGTGACAACCCAGAAGAGTAGGATGGGGCAGGGGGTGGGAGGGAGGTTGAAGAGGGAGGAGACATATATATACCTATGGCTAACTCATGTTGATGTATGGCAGAAACCAACATAATACCAACATCAATAATTTACATAATTGATGTAAAGCAATTATCCTTCAATTAAAAATAAATAAATTAAAATTAAAAAATAAAAAATTGGGGATCTGTATGGTATGTGAATAAAACTACTAATGTTAATGTGTGCTAGTTGCTCAGTCATGTGTGACATTTTGTGACCCCATGAACTGTAGCCCACCAGGCTCCTCTGTCCATGGAATTCTCTAGACAAGAATACTGGAGTGGGTGGCCATTCCCTTCTCCAGGGGATCTTCCTGACCCAGGGATTGAACCCAGGTATCCTGCATTGCAAGCGGATTCTTTACCATCTGAGTCACCAGGGACGTCACCAGGGAAGCTAATGTTAATAAACTTGTTTTAAAAAAGATATTTCAGTATTCTGGGAAAGAAGGAAAAAATTTGATGTTCCTGTTCTCTTCCTGAATTCTTTTTTGAAGTCCTACTCTCTCTTCCTTTTTCATAGCATTTTATAACAATGAATCTTCTTGATTCTCTTTGAGGATACTCAGGAATTTTTAACGTTCTTTGCTAATCTCAAGCTCTCTCTGGGGACAGATATTTTATTCATCTCCCTTTCTTCCCTGTGAAAGTATTCCTTCAAATACCTGGTAATACTCGATTGTCCATTCAAATTTAAAAGGTACTGCTGCTGCTGCTAAGTCACTTCAGTCATGTCCAACTCTGTGCGACCCCACAGACGGAAGCCCACAAGGCTCCCCTGACCCTGGGATTCTCCAGGCAAGAACACTAGAGTGGTTTGCCATTTCCTTCTCCAATGCATGAAAGTGAAAAGTGAAAGTGAAGACGCTCAGTCGTGTCCGACTCTTAGCGACTCCATGGACTGCAGCCTACCAGGCTCCTCCGTCCATGGATTTTCCAGGCAAGAGTACTGGAGTGGGGTGCCATTGCCTTCTCTGAAAAGGCACAAGAGACATGCAGAGATATTATACATGGGTGAATGGCTAGCAAGTTTCTCTTTCTGGTAGGTGGAAGGGATCTGGTCATTATATTTTGAAACCCTTAAATGCCTCACAATGGAAGGCTTTCCAATAAAGTCCCAGTTCAAACTTTTGTTGCCCAGTTTCCCACTAGGCAGTTGGTCTTCGTTCATCTAAAGGGGAAACAGCTGGCTGCCAGGCTTTCCACTCATGGTGGTGAACTATTACTTTACATACTTTTAAGCCCCTCCTTTTTTAAGCTCTAGCACACACTCCCTTTCTTTCATGATTCTAGCAGCTGCAAGGTAGACCAGCTCTTTCATTAGCTAAGGTTTCCTCCATATTATAGGCTTCTTCTGTCACTAATCCTGCATCTATTTTTTAGCTTCTAGAAATGGGCTCATATTTTCCATTTATTGCTGGGCTTCTCCCATTCTTTTTATTTATTTTTTTAATAATTTCAATCTTGTCTTGAGGAGGAGAGGAGCTAAACACTCGTTCTAAAATATACTTTTAGGTATATGTATATCTTAAATAGGAAGCAATCTAATCACTTCAAAGTTCAATGGGCCCGATTTTAAGAGAAAATGACAAAAGCATTTGAGAATTATATCAATTATTAAATCTGGAGGAAATAAAACCTGAGTACTATCTACTCTAGCTTCCCATGTCAAAGTCTTATAATTTTACTTGTATGGCAATAGCAAATAAGCATACCCACTGCATAAATACAGGACTATTTCTGAATGATAATTAGTTAAGAATATTCTGAAGTACAGGTGTAGCCAGCTCCCGTTTGTAGTGTATGCTTACTCAGAATTCATTATATGACTATAAGATGTAAAGGACACTAAATTCACAAGAAATTAAAAGGTACTAAAGGATGAAACAAAAGAGTATTCTGATTACTGAGGTCTACAACCAAGGAATTTGAGCTGGAAGAAACCCCAGAGGCTAATGCAGTCCAATTATTTAATTTTCTGGAAGTGAAAATAGAGACTGACAGAGTTTCAGTGAGTAGAACCAACCAGTGAATATCCTTTGCTATAAAGTAAAAGAAACAACTACTCATTGTAAAAATGATCAAAGCTTAGTGGCGAATACAGTCATGTCTTTTCATTCCTAAAGATAAGCTTTGATTAGGTACAAACTCCATAAGGACTGAGTTATCATAAATGAAACTGAGAGATACCTGAATGATATTCATACTTACTCATTGCCCCAGTCCAGGCGCACGGTGATGTGCCGCTTAACCTCCCGCACCTGATCCTGAGTCAGGTGACCAGACAGGAGCTGCCTTCGAAGGTCAATAAGTTCATTCATCACATGGCGCAGCTTGTAGAAAAGATCTACTTTATGTTTCTGAAAGGGCATTTTTGGTGTTGGGTGAAATAAAAAAGGGATATGGAAAGGGAATGAAAAAAAAAAGAGAAACAGTTAAACTATTAAAAGTGCTCAATTCTCTGAACCTCTAAAAAATAAAAGGCAATGTAGAGAGAAGCTTATTTAAGAATCTTAAAACAATGCCCTTAGTTCCCACTGTCTAAAAATCTCTATAAAGTGATATCTAACAACATAATTGACCTGGCTCATGTAAAATGCCATTTGTTTACTCTATCCTGGACTATTAATTTTCCGGTAAGTTACTAAACTCAATCACAACAAAAAGAAACACAGAAGCTTAGAGAGGTTTTCACTGACAGAAGCTACTTTGTACGTTACAAAGAAGATTTCAACCATCCAGCAACATCGCTGGTTTCTCCAGAAGGATACTCAAGTTGCGGGAGGGAGGAAGAGAATCACTTGCCCTATTTTGAAGGAACTGCTCCAACATAAAGTTACAGTCTCTGGAGTGAGATTCATTCCAGGTTTCCAGGCCTCATTTAGTTTTAATTAGCTTTTGAAAACAGTATGCATCCCCAGTGTCACAGATTTCTACTCTTTTCAGTTCAATAAAAAGTCTCACCTTTATAAGAGTTAAGTGGAAACATCTTAATGAACTTAATTATGGACATCACAGTGCTTTTAACCTTACAAGTAAAAACTGTAAATGCTATGATAGTACAGAGATGCTTATCAAAAAGATTAATTTAAGAGCACAGGTTTAAAAACTCAAGTTCTATTTGCTCAGAAGTGAAATCTTGATTTTGGAATTTTTGATTCCTGTTTCTATTACAGAAAAGCACAATTTTATATGATAATTAAAATTCCTCAAATGTAACTAGTCCAAAAGAACGCTTTTAAGGACAGATCAATCTTTACCATAGTGTAAGTAAAGTCTCTATCTGGGATTTCCCCTAAAGAGACACTTGCCAAAATAAGCTGGATTCAAAATAAGTTGGCTATAAATAAATTTATAATTAAAATTATAAAAAGTAAATTACAAATTAGTAGAATCAGCTGATGTTTTTAAGTAGCCCTAATCTTATGATTACAATGTTTGGAACAACATGCTACTCAGAAATCATCTAATGGAGCATTAGATTTATAACGGTCCATTTTAAAGAGAAATTATTTTTAACTATTAATAGAAGACCTTAGTAATCACCCACTCTAACTACATCAAGCTGTTCTTTCTTTACTAAATGAACATTTGAAGAAAAGTTAAGCACCCTGATGGTACACAATGCTGGCAGATGGACAGGACCCAAATTTTCGCCAGCTCAAAAACAACAAAGCCTAAGCAAATTGCATCTGCAAAACTGAGAGCTTGAAGCAACAGTGGCAATGTGCTGTTTTCTTCCAGCGCATGCATTTCTTTTTGACAAATCAGGGCCACCTGTCTATATTTAAAATAAGCTAGATAATATACATGTTTCGATGCTGTTCTCTTGAAACATCCCACCCTCGCCTTCTCCCAGAGTCCACAAGTCTGTTCTATACATCGGAGTCTCTTTTTCTGTTTTGCATATAGGGTTATCGTTACCATCTTTCTAAATTCCATATATATGTGTTAGTATACTGTAATGGTCTTTATCTTTCTGGCTTACTTCGCTCTGTATAATGGGCTCCAGTTTCATCCATCTCATTAGAACTGACAAAAACCACTGCAATGATGTAAAGTAATTAGCTTTCAACTAATAAAAATAAATGGAAAAAAAAAGAAAAAAATAAAAAATAAAATAAGCTAGGATTAATACTTTTCCATCAAGCCATATGCAACAACCCACTATACAGACATGCAAGCATTTATTCATTCACTCAGTTAACAAACACTTATGGAGCACCTGCTGAGGGCTATCACTGTTGTGATCCTAAGTCCCTACTCTCATGGTGCTTTCATTCTAGAGAGCAGACACAGACCATATAGGCAAATACATAATGGTGGTGAGATATACATAATATCTCATTTACAAATACATAATTCTAAGAAGAAAAATTAAAGCAGAACAGGAACAATGGGTGACCAAGGGTGGGTTGGCTGGGGAACAGGAGAAGGTACTGCTTCAGGTGGAATAGTCAGGGAAAGGCTTATCTGAGAGCTGAACTTTAAGTAGAAACCTGAATGAAATATGGTGACAGCGCTTAAGAAAACTGAAAAAAAAAATTTACAGACATGAGAAACAGCAAGAGCAAATGCCTCAATGTGGAAGGAGACTTGGCATATTCAGAGAATAAACAGATCAGTGCACCTGAAGGAAAGTGAACACGGGGGAAAGTGGTGATCATGCAGTGAGAGGCAACATGGGACCAGATTAGGCGGGGTCTTTGTTAATTATGTTAAGGGCTTTAGCTTTTATTCCTGGCAATACTGGAAGCCTCTGGAGATTTGGAGCAGAAAAGTAATGCAATATGAAACAAGTCCTGAAAGCATTACTCTGAGTGCTCTGTGCAAAGAGACAGTGGGGGTTCCAGATAGGAAACTATTTATTGCAACAATCCACAATATGATGGCTGACAGGACAAAGGTAAGAAGGGTAAAAGTAAACATTTCAGAGTTTGGAACTTTGATGTGTTTTGCAGTTAGGGCTGTCAATATCTGCTGATAGATTGGATGTAAGATATGAATGGAGACAAGGATCATTATTTTTGCCTAGACCCAGAAGCAGGCCTGGAAGAGGCAAACAAGGTTCAATTTCGACATGCTAAGTTTGACACTGAGTTTCAACACTTAGAGGTCAGAAAAGTGAGGAGAATCTAGCAAAGGAAACTAAGAAGCAAGCAGTGAGGTGAGAGGAAAAGCAAGAGTATAGAAAACAGGAGTTAAAAGACTTCCTTAAATGCACTGAAAGGTTACATAAAATACAGACTGAGAACTGGCCACTGTTATTGGCACTGTGGTGGCCACCACTGGCCACTGATGGAATGGCTAGAGTGATCTCAAGATTAATGGGAAAGGAGGGAATAGAGACAGAGCACAAACAACACTTCTGTAGAACTCTCACTAACCGGAAGCAGAGAAATGGGGTAGCAAAACAGGGTTGTGCTATTAGGAAAGAGTTATTTGCTCAGTCGTGTCCAACTCTTTGCAACCCCGTGGACTGTAACCCACCAGGCTCCTCTGTCCATGGAATTTTCCAGGCAAGAATATTGGAGTGGGTTGCCATTTCCTCCTTCAGGGGATCTTCCCAACCCAAAGATCGAACCCAGGTCTCTTGCATTGCAGGCAGATTCTTTACCATCTGAGCCACCAGGCAGGATTTTTAAAAACAAAACACAATTTTAGGCTATTTGTATGCTGAAGGGAATAATCTGGTAGAGGAAAAAATTTGATGATGCAGGTGTTAAACCCTTGAGTTGTCAAGAAGAGATGGTCCCAGGTTAAAAGGGGAGATTTTGCTTAAGCAGGATATTCCATTGTCACAGAAAGGAAAGGCACCAGTAGTCAGGAGATTTGGTGACAGAACTAAACTTTCCCTTTGGATGTTTTATTCTCAAGGAAATAAAAAGCAAGGTCACCAGCTGAGAGTGAGTAGAATGGGAGGGGGTTTTAGAGGTTTGAGAATAGAAGAAAAGATATTTAAAAAAAAGTTTCATAGAGAGTGGTAACAAATTGTCAGGGGAAAGATGGCTCAACTGTTAGATGGTTTTGACTTTGTAGCCACTAATTAAAAGTACAGTTTTGTGTTTCTTTTAAATCACATATAATGAAGTATATTGATACTGAAATATCACATATATACATGTGTATGCATATATACATGCACACACATAATATATACTCACATACACATACATACAATATCTATATAACAAACATGCACACACACATGCATATAATATCAATGCAAGAATATACTAATACATTCTTTTAAGGCATTACATGGTTATTTATCTTTTTAAATCAAGAGTTTCTAACAGATTGTATTTTCCAAAGATGACAACAATATCTCCCACCCCAAGCACTCTTCTGCAAAAATATGAATCTGACAGTCCCCTAGAATGAACTGGAGCCCATTTCTTTCTTTGCTTTTCCTTTTCTGGCTGTGCCTTGCAGCTAGGAAGATCTTCATTCCCTGGTCAGGGACTGAACCTGAGCCACTGAGTGAAAGCACGGAGTCATAGCCATTGCACCGCCAGAGAAGCCCCTGGAACCTCTTTCTTTACAGCCTTAAATCTGGGCAGGCCCTGAGACTGCTCTGACCAATCCAGTGGTGAGCTGGGACAGCAGTGAGTAGGCTAGTTCTAGACACAGCCCTTAACTAGTCTGGCAGCTTCTGTTTCCTGTCTCTTGGAATACATGTTCTTGGGAGTTTGCCTCTCAGGATCCAGTTGCCATGCTGTGAAATGACCAAGCTATGTGAAGAGGCCACAAGGAGACAATCCACTAAGCCATCTCAGCTGTGGGGGTGAGCCATGTCAGATGCCACGTCTAGCCAAGCTACACCTTCAGAAGAGTACAATTTCCACCAACATGTGACTGCAACAGAATGATAAACCCTACGTGAAACTGCCCAACTGACCTCACTATATCCAGGGAAGAATGAAATACAGTAAATCACTGTTTTAACCACTAAGCTTTGGAGTAGTCTGTTATGTAGATAAACCAGCACAATTGTACAGTATTTTTTTCCAACAGAAAAATCAGTTACTCTTTCTAATTATATAAAGCTGGGAGTACTAATCTGCAATAAGAAAGAAACAGATCATACAATCAGAAAGCAGCCCTATTATTATAATCAATGTGATGCTAACTTCTTTTTCCAGGCCAACCTAATGGCCTCTTTGACCAGAGGTCCTAACACTAGAGGCTCCACCAGTATTGCTCAGACATCAAACAGTACCTAGCAGAAGAGAACACACACATTCAACGTGAGTAATCTAGGAGACTGACTCCAGAGCACATAATTTACCTGCGAGCACTTGATGCCACAGGACAGCTAAATATCCCACTCAGGCTGAGAAATTCTTTTCTACTGAGA